ACACGTCTATAATTAACATCACAAGTCTACAAACTGGCTATTTTTCTTTCATCTTTAAAGCAAAAAAGTAAGCAATCTGTAATAACTGAAAACAAAAGGATGTCTCTTTAACCCTCTAAGAAACAGCTCTCCATTAAAAAAAAAACTTACTAATTTAGTTTTTTACAACTTTCAATTTTGAGATTTGGCACGATTTAAAAACAGAAAAAAAAAAAAAAGAACCACACTCCTTAAGAACTTAATTAAGCCAGATGCCAATCACATTGAATTACTGCACCTGGGTGAAAAAATTTTTTTTTTTCTCTAAGCAACTATTAGCACAATGCCTGGAGCATAGTGGATCTCAATAAATATTTATTGAATGAATGGATGCATTTCATGCTTCATTTGAAGCTCATAGTAATGAAGCACTTCAATGCTAATGGTGAAAATCTGCAGTGTGTTAATGTTTGCCAAAGGCTTGGAGGGCTGCACTGCATCCCAGGAGGAGATTGATTCTGAGGGGGGGCCCATCAGTTCAGCGTGTATTCCGAGAAGCAGTGACAGGAGCCTTATTCTCATGGGTCTCTAGGGATGACAGCATGTCTTTCTTGATTCTGAGACAGACTCATCCTCAGAGAAATGCTGGTGTTCTAATGCCAATTATGGTCTCAAAACTCACAAGATATTTTACTCAACACCTTATTTGAACTCATCTCTGGTCATTTTTCTGGTAAGGTATTTGAAGACAAAATATTTTGCCTTCATTCTAGATTGTATATATCTAACTGTCTATCAGAAGACAAAAACTTGCCTATCTGAGAGCTGACGCTAGAAGACAGCAGGAAAAAAAAAAAAGGATTTTATGTCATAAAAGAGAAGGTGGATTTGTTTTCTGGATGGGGAAGGGGAAAGTAGGAAAGGTTGGAGATTTTATCCCTCCTGTTCAAAATGCAGATTCTTAAACAGACAAATGTGGAAAATATCCCCAGCCCTTGAATAAAGAAAACGAATTTTCAGAAACCTGGATCAAGACAAGCCAGAGATGAACTTAGGTTCATTTATGCCCACCAATCCATCTCAGTGGTCACTGGGAACACTGCCAGTAAGGATTCTGAGAGGGCATCCAGACTTAGACAGAAGAGAGTGTGCAGGATATAGCCCAGAACAGGCATTTGTAACAAGCTCCTACATTTGTCTTTACACATAAAAATTTAACCTGTAGCAAATAGCTGCTTACAATGTGTACATGACTACTCAATTTCATCCCCATGGTAATTGTTAATTGGGCACTTATTTTTCAACAAGCACTTGTTTGTTTACCCAAATCATTTAATCTTTATTATAATTCTATTTTGCATATAAGGAAACTAGAAAAAATAACCAGAGGTTTTTGTAAATTGCTCAAATCATGGAGACAGTAAATATTAAAGCTGGGATCTAAGGCAAGAATTCTATCTCCAGAGGCTGCCTTCTTCACAATACTCCAAGTAGTGCTTAAGACTTAAATAACTGACATATATTTAGTTGGGCATTATTTTCTATTGGACAATCATGATTTGCCTTTTTGGGAAAAGTTCATCAAGAATTATTTCAGTTTTGAGAGAACAGCATCGAAACAGCATCAAAACAGGGTGAAACAGATCACCAGCCCAGGTTGGATGCATGAGGCAACTGCTCCGGGCTGGTGCACTGGGAAGACCCAGAGGAATCGGGTGGAGAGGGAGGTGGGAGGCGGGATCGGGATGGGGAATACATGTAAATCCATGGCTGATTCATGTCAATGTATGGCAAAAACCACTACAATACTGTAAAGTAATTAGCCTCCAACTAATAAAAATAAAGTGAAAAAAAGAATTATTTCAAAGATGAAAATGTAGGAAAGATACAAAGGAGGGAATTAAGCAGTTAAAAAATTGGGAACTCAATGGGAGCTGAAGATTAGGGGAATTAGAGCAGAGAGCTTAGCCTGAAATGATGTAGAAACACTTCAGGTAAATAAGAAAATGTGAATTTCTTTTAGTGTTCCAAATTGAAAAATAAAACCAATAAGTCATAACTAGAAACATTTAAATCACAAGGCACTCGAGAGGAAGACTCTAGATGCCGGTTTTTATAGTTGGCAACTGCTTAATACTACATAACAAATTTTTTATAGATCTGAAATTTCATTACTTCTCAAGTTCAGTGTATAGTCAAGCAGGTTTGAATACACTCAAGGTGATGCACTTTTGATATATGTCATGGAAAATGTCTTATGAAGAAGGACAAAATTTCAAAGCCCATAATTTAAAATCTGAATTTTTAGAGGCTAATAATGATGGTGAACACAATAATAAACACGATACCTAACATTTGTTTAGAGCTTGCCAACTCAAATACTGTGCAAATGACTTAAAGAAACTAGTTTATGTATTTTTAATTATGACCTATGAGGTAGCCTCAAGCTCCTGAATATTATGCCACATATTTCCATTTCTATGAAATAGAAAAAAATGTATTTTTTCTCAAGTAGTTATGACTACAATGTCATAAAAAACTCAATGATAATTAAGAATATTAAATTACCATCAAATGGTCTTTGGATAACACAGTTGAAGTGCACTAAATTTCATGCTTTTTAGGTTTAGGAAAGGTTCATAGGACAGGTGGCAGAGTAACTTTATGAATGGTTAAAATAGTCTATTTCAGTACCAAATAACTTATAGATGAAATCATTAATTATAGAAGACAGTTGGATACTATGGCATCACAAACCTCCTCTGGATACCACAGAATTCTTCAGAAGCATGGCTCAGTATCCCAGGGGAGACTAACTGGGTATGAACCCCGTTAGAATGTGAGTTTTATCCCTGAAAGGGACAAAGACAGGAGAATAAAGGCAGGCTTATGCACATCAAGGCTGGGACTCGATTTTGCTCTGCCTTGAGCCAGCTTCAAAACTGTAGATAAAGTTGCTTTCTCTTACTGGCTTTCTGAATTAGAAAATGAGGTGCTATACAGGACAGGTCTATTAGATTCCCTTTAAAATGTTTTAATTCAACATACTAAGAATATGATATTTGCCAGTGACTTAAGGAGATCCATGTAAGGATAGCCACAGGCTTTGAGCAAAGAAAAAGTGACCAGGTAAGAAATTATTCCTCTCAAATATTAAGATATAAAGAAGCTACAATCAAGCTACCAAAGTGCTTTAACACCCAGAATCTCAAGCTTATTCAGAAAGTCTGCTAGGCAGTTAGGGTTTTATAACTCTAATCTTTGTAGGCAGAAAAATGGGTAATTGAATTAGTTTTTCTTTTCACATGAGACTAGACCCAGATTACTGCTCCTGAACAGGGTATGAGGAATCTAATTTTCTACTTTCAAACCAAAACAACTACACCTTCCGAATTTTTGGAGTTATTAACCTCTTCCATGTAAAGATTTTTAAAATAAAAAAATAAAATATTTTATTCCTTACTTTGTGATCTTGGAGATAATTTCTTTGGCTACTTAAAATATATATTCAAAATTTACTAATCATATATTTATTCAATGAATAAGTATTGAGCATTTACTATGCACCTAGTATTGGTTACATGGCCAGTGCATATGTGTACACATACACACAGAGCTCTGTATCTTTTTCCGAAATCCCCTATAAATTTAAGAAGGATAGGTCTTAATATGTGTGCTCCTTCACTCAATCCAGTCTGACTCTTTGTGACCTCAAGGACTGTAGCCTGCTAGGTTCCTCTGTCCATGGAACACTACAGGCAAGAACACTGGAGTGGGTTGTCATTTCCTACTCCAGCGGTTCTTCCCAACCCAGGGATTGAACACACATCTCTTGGGTCTCCTGCATTGGCAGGTGGATTCTTTACTTTCCCACTGTGCCACCTGGAAAACCCAGGTCTTAACATAGGGTCAAGCAGATAGAAGATGTTTGGGAAATACATGTCAATATTTTCAATGTGACCTAAAGAGAAGAAAAATATTGTAAAATGGCATCTTAAAACTTTAGAGAGATGCCATAAAAATCCTGTCATAAAACTCATTTATGATTAATATATTCCATATTAATAAAAATGCAGCTCAATAATACTTTGAATATATTGCCCCTGGAGGTGGGGAAGGAGGATACAAAAAAGTTGTAATAAAGTTTCCTGTTCTCAATGAGTTTACAGTACCATTTGATGCATATAATAATTTTTTAAGAATATAAAATATGCTAAATAATAAGTATAACTTCTGAGCACTGTGAATACTGTTCTAAGCATTTAACACGTGCAATTCATTTAACTGTCACCTAGCTCTTAGTAAGGGCTAATAATTTCACATACAAGGAAACTGAGGGCTGTGTCTTAAAGGGCGTACTCAGGATTTTGACTGAAGAAGGAACGCAGGTTGTGAGCCTATGTGGCCCAGAAGAAAACTGGCTTGGTTCAGGTGTAGGAGCCCCAGCTTGAGGACGAGGTAACACAGCTAGTCAGTTGGTTGAGGCCATGATATGAAGGCTTTTACCTACAGTGTACAATTCATATCTATCTTGGGGATCAAGGATACTTCAAAGGAGTGATGTGATTGGGATTGGACCTGAGTAAAATTAATCAAACAAATGGATTAGAGTAGATGGAAAATGAAGGCAGAGATATCAGTGGGGACACCACGTGGAAATGGCTTAGGCAAACAGAGGGCAAAGACAAAGGTGATGGAGAAGAGCTGTGGATTCAACAGACACTATTAGAGGAGACTGCATATGACTTTACAGTGGATGACAAATGGAATAAAGGAAAGGAAGACTTAAATATTCCAATACTTTCAAATCCAGCTAAAGAAGATTACATCAGTTATTAAGAACCAGTAGGTAAAACCTTACCACGTGAACCTTCAAGAGGTTACTGTACAAATTCACATACACACAAATTACCTATTAGTATACATATTAGACAAGAACTCATACAGCAAAAATCTGAAATTTTAACTCATATCACAATAGTTAATAACATGAGACAATATATGTAAAAAAACAATCTTACCCCCTTGCCGTATTCGCTATCTGAATCACTGCTAAGCTCCTCAGTGTTCATAATTTCCAAATCAGACTCCCCAGGTGCAATTGGCACTGTCACAGTGAGGCTGGGATTATGAATAAATGACTGACCATCACTTTCTTCCATTAAGTATTTGTCCACGCTGTTTCCAAAACCACTGGTTATAACTTTTTCTTTGTGGAAATTGTGATCCTTGCCCATTTCAGCAAGTGTGCGGTTCGAAATGTAGTTTTCCTTTTTACAATTTAGATCTTCTGCTTGTTTTATCTCTTTGGAAATCTTTGGCTTTTTGGAAAATGCTTTTAGAACAAACTCACGTAAGTTTCGTTTCACATAATTTATTCCCTTCTTAATTCTGGCCACTGCAATCTGGAGGTTGTTTGCATCAGTGTCTTCTTCAATTGCTGTAAGATTGTCTGAACTAAATGAGCTCAGTAATAAAGCAAGAAATAGGTTGAGGACCTAAGTCAGGTGGAGAATAGGGTGTGGATAAACAGGGAGATAGGAAATAAAAAAAGGAAATAAGTACAGTTTTCGGAAATACAGGCCAAAATCCAAACCAGTAATGAAGAGCTCTATACTTCTTCATCCATAGATAAGAACACGGGATGGGGCAGCAGAGAAGCTAGAATTTTCATTAGTCTCCCCATGTGTGAGCTTCTGTGAACTCGGGAGCAGAGGTCAGCCTAACCCTTAAAGGGCCACCACGAGGAGCAAAGCGCATGCTTCCTCACCATTACCGTGATGTCATTGCTAAACTCATTTCTACAGCAGAAAACCTGTGTCCAAATTCCCTTCTCTGCGCCTAAAATGCCCTCTTAGCATTTGCCTTTACTTAACATTTGTTACCTGTGAGAAGCAAGTAGAACAAGAAAATTGTGACTACTGTCTGTTGTGCTGAAGGCAACTTAAGCCAAGATCTGCGTTTACTTTTCCCAGAAGATAAACTTCACTTATTGCAATAAGTGCAACATATAATGCTCTTAGAGTTCCTGTAATAAAATATCCTCTCCAAGAACTGTGCCAACTTGCAACTTAATGAGACTTTTAAAGCAAAGAAAAAGATATGCCCATTGAACCCAATTCAAATGAGATAATGGCATTATGATTGGGTGGCCCTGGAAAAGATTATAAAACAGGTCAGGATAATGCCTATCCTTGAAGCAAAATTTTGTTTGTGTGCAAAACCATTTCTGTTTCCCTCCTTAGAGGCAAGGGTCCAAGTAAACTGCACATTATTTAAAAAAAAATTCTCACAGAGGGCTCAAAATATGTAAATTATATTTTTAAAATATTTTATATAAAAAAGATGATTGAAAAACCCTAACATCTACTTCATATTTAAACAATCAAAATTATACCAAACTGAGGAAAAGGACTCACCACTAATTTTGGTCACACTTAGAACAATTTCTTAGAAATGTAAGTAGAAAAGCACAAGTGAAAAAAGGTCTGTGTTAATATAGCAGGCTTAAGAGAAGAATCTGAGATGGAGGGGAAAAAGAAAATCATAGAAATAAATTTGGTGAATCATTAAGAAATTTTGAGACTATTTTCCTGTCGGTCTTCATTGTCAATAAAAAAATATATTTCACTGTAAAACATATGTTCGTTGATGTGTGTGTGTTCTAATAGGAATGGTGATGACAAACCAAGGGCTCATTTTCCCTTTAGTTTCCTTAATCAATGCAAATGTTAATAGATTTCTTTTTTCCTTCAAACTCATAATTAGATTTAGCTTTTACAGCTTTATTGAGATATAATTATCATATTACATTGTATAAGTTTAAAGTGTACAACATGGTTTGATGAGCTTATAGACAGCAAAATGATTGCCACCATAGTGTCAAAAAACACCTCCATCAAGCCTCATAATTACCATTATCTTTTTGCAGTGAGAGCATTTATGCCTACTCTCTTACCAAGTTTCAAGTTGGCATGGGGGCTACAAGGACAAAAAAAAATTAGCAACTTGTTTTCAAGCCAATGGGAAGTGAAGGTACCAACCATGTGGCTGTTACCATAGACAACCATACTTGATGAGCAGTCTGACAACAGGCTAACCAACTACATCAAATGAACATGATGGCTTTGAAAATTGAAGTGAGGCACTGAAGAGCACTTTATCCCAATTTTCTCCTGCCTCTAAGCTTGAAAATTCCCACCAACAGGTAGGTATAAGATAGAAGGAAACAGAAGGCATACAAGCTAAGAAAACACTAATGGAGAAGTAGATCACTTGTAAAAGAGAAACTAGAGAGTAGTGGTGGGCAAACTTTTTCTGTAAAAGGGCCAGGTGGTAAGTTATTTGGGCTTTGTAGAACAGAGGATCTCTGTCCGTGTAGAGTAAGACAGCCACAGACAACATGAAAATGAATAAGCGTATCTGTTTTCAATAAATTTTGCTTATAGAAATTGTAATTTGAATTTAATTTAATTTCCCTGTGCCAAAAAATATTTTTCTTTATATTTTTAAACTATTTTAAAATGTAGAAAACATTTTAGCTTTGCAGGAATGAAACAAAAACAGGCAGTGTGCAGGCTTTGGCCCTTGGACCATATAGTTTTTTGATACTTGTTATAAATGCTAGTCTTATATATGACTATAACAAAGTAGGACTAGGCCTTCCATTTGCCTTGTTCCATTATAAATTCATTTTGTTATTATTAAGTTAATCATATTCTGTTTACTAGCATGGCTTCATGTTTGAATCAACATTTAGGAGATATGAAAACCATGGATTAATTTATATGACATGACTATCAAAATGAAAGAAGTAGAAAAATGAAAACTTTCCATTAAAATAAATATTGTGAAAGCTATAAAAAAGCATTATCTGGCAGAGAAATCAAGACAATAATTCATTATCTTTTCTGTTCTTCACTGGATTAAAATAGTCAACATTCTATTACAATTAATGGCTTTAGACCTAATTAATCCTATAATTATAAAAATAAATGACCATATCATCATATCATAATTCTCTATGGAGAATTTTAAATGTATGAACAGGTGATTACATACCACCAGGTTGCCAATGACCATGACCATCATGTAAACAATGAGGCACATGGTTTGACCGGCGACCTCCATGCAGTCCCACATGGTCTCTATCCACTCTCCACACAGCACCCGGAACACAATCAGGAAGGAGTGGAAGAAGTCATTCATGTGCCAGCGTGGGAGTTCGCAGTTTTCATTGATCTTGCAAACACATTCTTTGTAGCTCTTACCAAAGAGCTGCATGCCGACCACGGCGAAAATGAAGACGATGATGGCCAACACCAAGGTTAGGTTTCCCAGAGCCCCCACTGAATTGCCGATGATCTTGATCAGCATGTTCAGTGTTGGCCAAGACTTTGCTAACTTGAAAACTCGGAGCTAAGAGTAAACACAAAACTTATTATCAGTTTTTATGAAAAAGTTCTCAATGTTTCCAGTCTTAAACTTTGTTCCAAAATTTAATTCTAAAATATTATCATTACCTGGTAAAATCAATTATTTTTATTATTAACTTTTAATCTACTGTCAATATTCCTATTATTTTGTTATATTTGCCACTATAAAATTACTACACATATTTTGAAGGAACTGCAATTTTAGTGCAGGATAGTTATGGAAATCTCTTATCACACTATCAGATATTATATCCTTTAGAATTGGTCATTTATCCTTAATTCTATTTTCTGATACTTTCATAATTTTTTTTCATGCCGACATAAGGAGAAAGTTCAATAAATTAGAGGGAAAAGCATTAAAAAGTCATTATTTTTTAATATTTTTGATACCAGACAACAATTTTGAGGGGATAATCTTTATGAAATCCACAAAGTTATGAACATATTATAATGATTGAAATTCTACAAACCATAAGCTTCTTATTGTGATATAAATTACTGCCCTATCATAATACTAGCATATACAACTGAATATGTCATCAAGATCCCAAAATTAAAACATTCAAATATTTTTGAGCTCTTTAAGTGCATTTGCTACTCAAGGAACTTCATTTTACTAGCTACTGAGATCTAATCTTATATTTTGAATCACATCTCCAAAAGTTAAAAAAAATAGTAATGTAAAACCAAAGAAACACCCCTTTATATATAGAATATAAAGGCAATGTTGGTCTATATTTACCAGTCTGAATGATCGTAGAACTGACAATCCTTCCACATCTGCTAGAAAAAGTTCCACTAAGCTTAAGGTCACAATAAGACTATCAAAAATATTCCATCCTACTTGGAAATACTCATATGGATCCATGGCAATTAGTTTTAAAACCATTTCAGCTGCAAAGATGCCAGTAAAGACCTACATGAGAAATAAAATATATTTCTAGCATTATTAAAAGGTATAAAAGCAACCTAATGATGATAATGACTATCTGTGTAGCATTTACTGTGTTTCAGACAAGGTGCTTTATAAAGATACTTTATAAACATATATTATTATTTCATTTAATCCTATAAACCAACTATCACTATTCTTATAGCTATAAGAATCGAACAGTTAAGAAGTTCTAACTCTCCTATCAGTTTTCATCACCTTTAGAGAGTATTTTAGAAGGGCATGCTAAAATCTCTGATACATAAAACCTTTGAAAATTAAGATAGGCACTCTTTGTTTTTTCTTTTTTTCCATTTATTTTTATTAGTTGGAGGCTAATTACTTTACAATATTGTAGTGGTTTTTGCCATACATTGACATGAATCAGCCATGGATTTACATGTGTTCCCCATCCTGATCCCCCCTCCCACCTCCCTCTCCACCCAATCCCTCTGGGTCTTCCCAGTGCATCAGCCCTGAGCACTTGTCTCATGCATCCAACCTGGGCTGGTGATCTTGATAGTATACTTGTTTCAATGCTATTCTCTCAGAACATCCCACCCTCGCCTTCTCCCACAGAGTCCAAAAGTCTGTTTTGTACATCTGAGTCTCTTTTTCTGTTTTGCATATAGGGTTATTATTTCCATCTTTTTAAATTCCATATATATGCGTTAGTATGCTGTATTGGTCTTTATCTTTCTGGCTTACTTCACTCTGTTTAATGGGCTCCAGTTTCATCCATCTCAGAACTGATTCAAATGAATTCTTTTTAATGACTGAGTAATATTCCATGGTGTATATGTACCACAGCTTCCTTATCCATTCGGCTGCTGATGGGCACCTAGGTTGCTTCCATGTCCTGGCTATTATAAACAGTGTTGCGATGAACATTGGGGTGCCCGTGTCTCTTTCAGATCTGGTTTTCTTGGTGTGTCTGCCCAGGAGTGGGATTGCTGGGTCATATGGCAGTTCTATTTCCAGTTTTTAAAGGAATCTCCACACTATTCTCCATAGTGGCTGTATTAGTTTGCATTCCCACCAACAGTGTAAGAGGGTTCCCTTTTCTCCACACCCTCTCCAGCATTTATTGCTTGTAGACTTTTGGATAGCAGCCATCCTGACTGGTGTGTAATGGTACCTCATTGTGGTTTTGATTTGCATTTCTCTGATAATGAGTGATGCTGAGCATCTTTTCATGTGTTTGTTAGGATAGGCACTCTTTGTAAAACATTTATTAAATAACTTATGTTAACAAGTTATTCTGGAAGATAGTAAAAAGGAAACATATCAATACTGAAATTTTGAGCCAGTCTTTTTTGTTGTTGTTCTGATTGCTCTTAGAGTAATAAGGAATAAGTTGATTCACTCCAAAGATTTATCAGTAGAAGAGGGAAAAGTATTTAATCGATACGGTGGCAGCTAAAGTAAGATTTCCAAAGTGAAAATGTTAGTCACTTAGTCATGTCTGATTCTTTGTGACCTGATGGACTGTAGCCTGCCAGGTTCCTCTGTCCATGGAATTCTCCAGCAAGAATACTGGGGTGGGTAGCCATTCCCTTTTCCAGGGGATTCCCAACCCAGGGGTTGAACTCAGGTCTCCTGCATTGCAGGCAAATTCTTTATCCTCTGAGCCACCAGTTCAGCCCCAAAGATTTCCAAAGCTTTGACACAAAAGTATATCACAGAACATCATTAATTTATGACATGGCATCAAAAGGACTCAATCAAAAAGGCAACAGTGAAAGTCTTATAAATCACTTGGGTACAATCTGATTCAAAGAAACTGAACAAAGAACGTTCAAAGGGAAAAGGTTAACTCTATAACTGTGAGTCATCTGTAAAATAATACGTCATCAAGGAGACTAGCAGGGAGCACCCAGACTTGGGACTGTAGTTACAGACAAGAAACATGATGGATCATTTTTGGATTCACAGTGATACAGACAACTCAGTGAGAAGGTACTGGTTTTCATGATCTGACCTCTACCAACAATTAGAAACTAGATGATCCTGCCCTTTTGCAATTAGGAATAGAAAGAAGAATGCTAACTCAGGGTACATGAGTTTTAAACATCCTGCCTTGAAATAAGTGTAAGAAATTTGGAGAGAAGACCAACTCAGAAACACTCTTTGACTTCAAATATCAATTGATTTGGGACCATGTCAAAAGCAAAATTATCTCATACAGACATTTTGCAGAGACATCCAGAGTTATTCACGATTGATGGAGTCACACACTGGGACCTTTTGGCTGTGAAATAGAACTTCTGCCTGGTTATGCAGATCGCTGGAAAGGAGCACTTTCTGTTTGCCATGAGGCATTAATTGAGGGTGACCACCACTGCCCATTTAAGAGATCACTCTGGCATCAACCTTCCTAACAGAATCCTGTATCTTCCTGAAGCTTACAGATCCCTTCTAGGCTGCCGTTATTTCTTCTGTGTCCAGCTTAATCATTTGACTTCTAAATATTCTTGTTCTTAAGGCTTGTTTCTGCTGATTCATTGAAAGCATGATGATTATAAAAAACAGATAATTAATCAGGAGCTACTGGGTAGCATAGGGAGCTCTGCCTAATATTCTATTACGACCTACATGGGAAACAACAAAGAGTCGATACACATTATATGTGTAACTGATTCACTTTGCTGTAAAGCAGAAATAACACAACACTGTAAATCAACTATACTCCAACAAAAATTTTTAAAAAAAAGAAAGCATGATGATTACAATGATGATGGTGATGACTGATGAAAACAGGTTTAAGTACTTACTATATGCCTGGCTAATAAGTAGAAAGTCTTCATTCCTCCCAATAAATATTAATAAATAAGCATTAATTTTATTTATATATTGAATATAAATAAAGCATTATTGTTATATTAAAATAAAAATATTATTTTATAAAGAAACCATTACTATTACATAAATGAGAAAATGAAAGATTATAGATATTAAAATTTTTCCCCAAGGTCATATAACTACCAGGAGGCAAAACCAGGACTCAAACTAAGGACTTTGGGATTCCAAAGGCCTGAATCCTTTACCTATATGTCAAAACAAAGTATCCATAGTTTTTCTGAAAACTTGCAGGGTATGTACTCACAAGTAAGCTGCAATATAATTATAAAATGGGTAAGAAAGTATCAAGTTTTCAAAGTGTTGCTGCTAACAGACATGCCTGGCAGAAAACAAACACACATTTACTCCCAAGATGGTGACCCATTATGGAGATAATGCCGTTATCCATAGACCTCAATATGCCTGCACAATTACTTTGAGATGGTGTTTATCACCAGAAACTTGCCTCTGTACAATGATTCACATTGTGAATTCTGAGCATGCATAACTACCTAGCTAAATATCCATCTGACTTTAAAAAAAAAGGAATGATAATCATGACAACCAAAGAGAGACACTCTGGGTCCTAATACACATTAACAGACTTACCAAATTTCCCACAGCGAGCACATTTTTGAATTCCTCAGTCATTGGGTGATGTTCCATAGCCATGAACAATGTGTTTAAAACTATGCAAATAGTAATAGCAAGATCTACAAAAGGATCCATTACAATAAAATAGATACATTTTTTGAATTTTATCCAATATGGAGAGCAATTCCAGATCAAGAATGTGTGTGCAAATCTGTACCACCAAGGTGGACATTTCTGTCTGGACTCCTCAAGTTCTGGAAGAAACAAACCACAGAGAACACCAAGTTAATCATTACATATTATATATTTTATTCCTAACCAGATACACATCAGCAGTACACTTTAACATTTGAAACAAGTCTTCTGCTTTATACTTTGTAAGTTTAACAATATTCTTTTTATGAGAGCATAGCATATAACATAAAAATCTTATATCATGCATTCATTTATTAGATCAATCCTAAGAAGAAGGCAGTGAAATTAATGAATGGGAGCATATATGGGTATCTCTGAGAGAAACAAGCACTTAACATATGATGTTAAACAAAAGAATTGATACTTTCTTAATTCAGATAATGTATATATTTAAGATAAATGTATATAAACCAATATATATACATATATACACACACACACACACCCAATATATACACTCCCCTGTGCCCTGAATTCCATTACAATAATAACACACTTCTATTCTCTACAGGAAAAGCTTTTGCCAGCTCACAGGTGAAAATAATCCCAGGACCAAGAGACTAGAAATAATTTATAGAGCTATTCATGCAATAGGTAGCACACACCACTAGCCCATTTAGTTCTCATCATAAATTTAGGAGGTGGGTGAAAACTCTGTCTGGGTCCATCATGGGCGTGTTGGGGGATGAGGTGGTAGCCCGTGGATAAGGTGGGACCAGAGGCATGTTGTGGGGAGAGAGGGTGGGCGCCAATACATTGCTGAAATTGCCACCCTTTGGCTGATCACTACTGTTCACATCATATTCTCTAAACTGCTTTCTCTAGTGCTATGCATCACTATCTTGACAGATGTTGTGTCACATATTACTATTTTACAATTTTATAGAATGTTCTCAGAAGCAGAAACTTACAGAATCTGGAAGTTGGTATTGTTTTCTTACCTGTTAGAAAAATGATCAATTTCGAGAGACTAAGTAAGATTTCTAAGAGAATACAGTGAGAGAGTCACATAGCCCTGGGCCACTCTCACTTTCTTCATTTAGTACCATAAAGCTATTTATTTTTGAAAGGTCATTATAACCCAAAGCCTGTCTTTAATCACAAAGAACTTTATCCACTTTTTAAGCACTAAAGACAATTCCAGTAGTATCTATTGGTTAGTCTTACCATTGCTTATCACCATTTTATATTCTTTGACTTCTTCCTAAGTACTTGCTATATCTATTTAAGACTGACCAGGACTTACCCGAATTTTGTTTAACAATCTGTATGGTAAAGTGAATGTTATTCCATACCTTCTACAGTGTTTGTTAATATGCTTGCCCTACTCATTGCCCTTTGTCTGAGATTGGGGTCATTCAACATATCCTCAGAAAGGAGGTAAGAACTGTGACGTCTTTTCTTGTGTATTTGATGGGTTGTACCCTGGAAAAAAAAAGATGATTAATTACAGTTTTAAGAATGGAATTTCAATAAATTGTAGGTAGAAATAAAATCTTGCTCACAAAGTTGTAGTGAGTAATTAGAGTCTAGACTGTTGATCTGAGTCATGGCTCTGCCATTTACTGGCTGTGTATCATAGGAGAGTTACTTAACCTCTCTGTCTCCACTTCATCATTGGTGAAATGGAAATAATCATAGTACTTGCCTCAAAATCTTGTTATGAGGATTAAATGGCTTAACACTAAGGAAATAAAAACTAAAATGAGCTGCTTTCATTGTTATAATCACTACCATTATGTATCTTTCTGGGTCTCCCAATTTATTCAGATAGCTTTACTATGTAAGAGTCCTAACATGAAAACAGCCAAATATGTGTTGCAATGGTGCATGTGTGCGTGCGCGTGTGCGTGCGTGCGTGTGTGTGCATGTGTGTGCGTGCGCGTGCGTGTGTGTGCGTGTGCGCGCGCGTGTGTGTGCGTGTGTGTGCTTGTGTGTGTGTGCGCTTGTGTGTGTGCATGTGTGCGTGCTTGTGTGTGTGCGTGTGTGCGCGCGTGTGTGTGTGCGTGCGCCCGTGTGTGTGCGTGTGTGCATGTGTGCGCTTGTGTGTGTGCGTGTGTGCGCGCGTGTGTGTGTGCGTGCGCCCGTGTGTGTGCGTGTGTGCATGTGTGTGCTTGTGTGTGTGTGTGCGTGCGTGTGTGCGTGTGTGTGCGTGTGTGTGCGTGTGCTCGTGTGTGTGCGTGTGTGTGTGCGTGCATGCGTGTGCGTGCGTGTGTGTGCGCGTGCATGCGTGTGTGTGCGCGCGTGTGTGTGTGTGCGTCTGTGCGTGTGTGCGTGCATGTGCACGCGTGTGTGTGCGTGCGTGTGTAAAGGAGGAACTTCGGTGTTCTCTGACAAACTTCTGTAACTGTTCCTCGCTGGGGCACAGCAGTAACAGGGCAATGGTAACGACTGTTTCTCATGCCAAAGCAGATCTCAAGAACCGCTCTGAGTCTATCAAGATGAATGACTCCGTAGGAAAACGATGATTAAGACAGCTGGCAACTGTAGCAAAGTGGAGAATGTAAGCTCCATCTGAAAGAGGCTCCAAAGGATTGATGCCATGCAGGAATATGAGCTCAGTCTTACCAGGTATACCCATTGTTATGTAAAGATGCCTTATTTCTAAATCTTGGCAACTAATTCAAAGTTAAAACACTGTGCCAGTTCAGTGCAGGCCAACAATACACACACACATACACATATAAGCATATAAACAACCATACAACTTTATATTTATTATCTGTCTGCTTATATGTGGTATGCATATATATATGTGTATACACACACACATACCATTCTACAAACATATATATAGATATACAGATTCAGAGTTGTAAAATATAGTTGTTTAGATATATATGCTTGTATATCAAAATGTAGAAAAAAAGGGATAAATACATCTATGTGTGTATATATTTATGTATGGACATGCATACATGTGCAAGGACACATATATGTGCCCATATATGTGCAAGGACATATACACACATATCTGCAGGTGGCTTCTTACGTAGATCTCTCTATAACCATGTTTTAGCTGATATACTCTCTAATTTACTGACTTTCTAGAAGCAGAGATTTCTTTTCTCCCTAAGTCAAACAAATAGCTGTGTTGATTAAATCATTTTTTTTCTCCATGTAGACAGTCTCAGGTGTCAAGGTTATATTATTTCTCATGCAATGTTTTCATCTAAACTGTACATTATTTCACGCTATTATGTTTTGCATTTATTTCTATTGAATTATAAAGTATTCACTAATTACTCCAGTTCTATAGTTTTAGTCTTAGAATTTAGAATGATGATTTTTCTGTGGTAAAACTAAGTATTAAGTGAAACATTTCATTTAAAAATAGGAAATAACCTCTAAATCTGATACACATTATATAATCTTTTATAGGTAATACATATTATCGAAAAGCAAAACACAACAAAGACATGATTCCATGGAAATTTAACATGCTTATTTGATAAGAAAAACACCTTCACAGAGGGCTGAAGCTATATCATGCAAGCACAAAGGTCACATATGACCTAAAAGCACATGCATGCATTCAAATGAAAATATATGTGTGGCCATGGCTTTGATGGAACTTCATTCTCACTTAAAACACTTCATTGTCTGCAAATATGATTTAAGAATAGGTGGCACGAGTTCAGAGCTTGTTAGGTTAGTCAAAGCCTTTCCGATATCAAGCAACACAATGTAACATGGTGAGTGACCTTAATAGGTAACCAAGAAACTTCAAAACCAGAAAGATCTCACTTTCAAGCTTCATCACACCCTTTTCTCATACCACTCAATGACTCTCAAACTCTTGAAACTGTTGTTTTGGAAAGGTGTTTTATTTCTGTCTTATATGTATATGTTTGCATTTACCTATGTATTTTGGATATTATGTTTTTATTCACAGATTTCAGATGGAAGAGTTCTGGTATTTTTTTTTAATGATAACAGTGTGTTTCATTTATGTGTGGGGGAAAATCAGTTACTCTAAATTATTCCTAAGAAGTTTACCACATCCTGGAGAAAAAGTGTGGTGGTTAAAAGCACAAGCTCAGAAACAGAAGGCCTCTTTTTGAATTTCAGGACTACCATTTATTGGCTGAGTGACTTTGCACAAATTGTTTCATTTCCATGTGACTCAGTTTCCCCAGGTGTATAAAAGGGGTATTAATATGTCACCTCCTAGGGCTGCTATAAATACTAACATGTCTTCTATTATTATTACTATTATTAATTATTAAGAACTCAAATAAGATCCCTTAGAACAAGGTATATATAAAGTAGTGACTTGAAAAAATAGTGGTAGGTGGCAAATAACCCAAATCTCCTTACAGACATGGAACCTATTATCAACTAATAATGTTAGCATTATCAATGCATTTTATGCTGATATATAGATTGTTTCCTAAGGGGATAATTCATGATCAAGTATAATATCAGTAGATAAGTACCATTTTTCACAAATGGGGTTTTAAATATCTTGGAATTGGATACCTACAACAATAGTATAAGGGTTACATTAAGCAGTTAAAGGTGTGTTTCTAGCATAAAAAGTATTGCAAGATGCAGAGCCATTCAGAGGACCAGAGAGAAGGCCCCTCCAGCAGAGAGAGTGATGGATGCAAGAATAAGGGCCGAACCATGCCTGAGCTATTTAAAACGTCCTTACGCTGTCATCAGAAGTTGCCTTATCTATTATCACCTCTGGCAGGAGCTGTCCATTGGGGAGCATGAGGGCGGAGGGTCCATCCACCAAGGAGACCACGCCATTGCAGTCGACAGCGCTGTGCATCTTCCCATTCACTGGCAGCACTGGGGGAGACCTACTGGCTTGGCTGATGTTACTGCTGCGCCGCTCCCGAGGTCTGTGCGGCACAAACAGGGAGCCCCTTCTGCTCTCGTTGTCGCCAAAGATGCTGTGCTCGTCGTCGGCAAATTCAGTCTCAGATCCAATATCTCTTCCTCGACCTCTGAAGCTGAAAAGACTTGTTCTGCTGCTCCGCCTTGCAGAAAACAAGGAGCCGCGGATGCTGAGCGGTGACTGCAGGAAAAAGAAAAGGTGATGTGTATCTGCTGAAGCAGGCATGCGTTTCCGAGAACTCCCATGACGACCACTGACCTGAGGGCAGAGGGCTCTGTACTGCGTTTAAAATAAACATTTAAAAACAAAGAAATTCAGCAAAACGACAAATTCTTTCACATAAGGAAAGAGGAGACTGGAAAAGCTCATCTTTTCAGGACCAAGTACGTTATCTGCTACTGTATCACTCTCTATACTTGTGGCCTCAAGTTATCTCTCCACTCATCGTGTACCATTCATGTTGCTATAAATAAATTATTACTTAAAAAAGAATTTGATACTAATAGCTGTTACAGAGCTGTTCATACATCAACCCCTACATTCCTTAAGTAGTGAAACTTTCTTGAGGCTAAGACCACACTGTATGCATCTTTGCATTCCATTGCTTGCAACTCTATCCTGCATACTGAGGGCTCCGTTAAGGTCTGTTAAGAAAGACTTTCGAATACCAATGGATTTACAAAGTCTTAAAAATATTTGTTGCTGTTGTTGTTTAGTCACTTAGTCATGTTTGACTCTTTTGTGAAATCAAGAACTGTAGCCCGTCAGGCTCCTGTTTGTGAGATTTCCCAGGCAAGAATAGTGGAGTGCGTTGTCATTTCCTTCTCCAATGGATCTTCCCCACCCAGAGACTGAACTCGTGTCTCCTGCATTGGCAGGTGGATTCTTTACTGCTGAACCACCAGGGAAGCCCTCATAATAATATTAGAACATGGAAAAGAAGCTGTCCAATACCAAAGAGGTGAAAACAAGTCACATTTACATGACTGTGTCCAAGATAAACTATGTGTATAAATCAAACTGCATATTCCTTGGATGTATCTAATTCAATAAACATTAGCGCTTACTATGTTAAGGACAAGGTGATAGGCATTGAGAATAATGGAAAATGCATATAATAAGGTCTTTACCTTAAAACTAGCTTGAACTGCTCTGGGAACAGTTTTGTCTTACTTTTTTTTAACCAATATTACATTCAAGTTCTATCTCCCCAACTAGATTATGAAATCTTTGAAGGAAGGGATTCTTTTACTTTTGTGTATATCTGGTAGGGTCCTACAGATGTAAGCAGCAGAAGCTAGAAATTTTAACGACACAGATGGAAAGGGTAGTAATTCTAAGTGGGTAATGAAGGGTAGACTGGGAGGAGTAGAGAGAACAGAGGACTCTGTGGATGGGTGGCACCAGAGCTAAGGGGAAAGAGTGGGTGGTCCCATGCCAGGAGGAAAACAAGGAGGAAGAGATCATGTGCACCAAGTAAAAAGGCATGAAAACATGGGGCATGGAGGTGAGAGGAACAACTGTGGTGGGCTGAGAGGACGTGGAGGTTGACCAGAGTGGGACTGAGATCAAGGCCATGGCAAGATCAAAACACTGACAAGATGTGGGTCTTGTTCTGTAGCCAGTGGCTATTCAACACAGCTTTTGTCTGTTTTTTTATGTTTTAAGTTGAGCAGGAAAACTACTTTGTTTTAGAAAAATTATTTGAAGGGACTGTGCAGTGGAAACCAGAGAAATGTAAAGAAGAACAGGAATAATAGTTCATTGCTCCTTGAGGTTTGTAGGCAGGAAATTCTAAAATACAGAGGTGTCAGTGGAAAAAAAAAAAAAAAAGGAAACAGAAATTCCACACAAGGAAAAATAAGAGACTATGGGACTAGATGTTACAGACTGGTACCTTTTGGGGTAGAGGCAGTAAGGTTTGGGTGACTGATATGCTGGTGATCCCTAAAGTGGTGACTACCTGTAGTCATGTGGTGACTACCTACAGTCATCTGGTGTACCTACAGTTATTCAGTGACTACCTACTGTAATCTGGTGATACCTATAGTAGTCTGGTGTACCTACATTGATGAAAAAAAGAAAAAACTAATCTGAGGTTAGTTTTTAACCAATGAGGCACTGCAAAATGAAGACTGAATAAAAATATGAAAAGGTAACTGATATTGTAAATTATTTCTTCATTTCTACATTGGTTCTCATGAACACATGTTTTGGATATTTATATTGGAGAAGATATGATAATTCTAAAACCATAAGCTCCTTCAAAATGATCAAACTTAAATGGAAGACTATATATCTCTATGTTCTTTCCATAAATGCCCAGTCATCAATAGGTTTTTACCTAAAAACATACTAATGAAGTCACTCACTCTTCTCCTGAGTGCCCTTCCCTCATATAGATCTCTATGATCCCACCTCTGGCAATACACATGTGATGGTGTCAGTGGTACCTGGTTAGGGGTAGACAATCTTTTTTCTCGCGCTCGCCTATGACCTTCAACACCAAGGTGGAAACTTTTTCTCCTGATGCTCTCCTCAGATTCTGATTTGGACAGTTTCTCATCATCTCCCTTTTCTTCCCCACTGGAGAGTTTCTTTTGGTTCTTTTTCTTTCTCCTGTTTCTTCTTTCTTTAGCACTTTTAGAGCTCAGTTTGGATGTCTCAGAAGAACTCTCGGAGAGACCCATTATTCTGCTTCTCCCAATGCTGGTATATTCAGCTGCTGCTAATGCTATTGCCTTTTGAACCAAGAGAGCACACACACGGTGAGTCAATTCCAAGAACTGCAAAATGCACCTCTTTACCACAAATTTAATTATACTGTTCATATAATCATGTCCCTGATACGGGAAGTAATGTTTCCTTTGCATCATGATTAGAGAGCTTATAAAATACATGTTTATCACTTCTCCTGCATTGTTAATAAAGCCATATTGTGCTTCATAATTAAACTATTATATACTATTACTATACTTATAATAAAGCAATTTTAAATAGTATATGTAAAAGTTTTAACTTTAGATAATTCTGAGACATAAAACTCATATCAACCATGTGACAAGATAATTCATTTGTATAAGTTGTTCAGGCATACAATATAATTCAATATTATCAATAGATTCACATACTTCTATAGTTAAATGAAGAAAGAATTATTTTAAAATAAAATGAATTATTATAGAATAATATATCAAGAAAATAAAAGACACTTTTAGGGATTACCCAGGATATTCCTTCAAGAGCCTAGTGCTGACCCTTTTAAAAAAATTAAGTTTTTATTATTAAAAACCCTTATAAAACCTTCCAACCCTTACAAAATTTGGAATTAAAGATATTGTGAATAAAAAGCAAGAAATACTCACAATCCTACCGTCCAGGAATAACTGGCATTAACATGTTTTTCAGTCTTCATGTATTTTTAATGTATATCTTATATTCAATTTTATATTCTATGACTTAATATATTATTATATTAACACCTTTTCCTGTCATAATATTCTTAAAAACACATCATTTTATGGCTGAATAATATTTCAAGACACAAAAATATTATAATCCCCTTAGCCATTTTCTAATTTTTTGAAATTTAAATTCTTTCTGATTTTTAATATTAAAATATTACACTGAACATTTTTCTGCCTAAAAGCTTCTCTGCATTACAGACTACTAACTTCCTTCCAATAGGTTAGATTTCTTGAAAAGATTTTACTAGGACAAACCATCAAACTCATGGAAAATATTTGAAATTTTGGTTCTCTTAGTACAAACCTCCTCAAACTTTTCCACTGACGTGCCCCTTTGGAGGGAGGAGTAAGGAGAAATCCACACAAATTTGTGACTTAAGGTGGCCACAATCATAAGTATGATTTTTTCAACATCTCACATTACCTTAAAATTTTTGCAACTTTAACCAAAACTGATGCCCATTTGCTTCCTACTCCACAGTGTATTTGTTAACTCTAATATCAAAATAATTCTCCCTAAGGACATGTGTACAATTGTTACTATGGGGAAATAACATCATAAATGTTTCGGGACTTTGCTTAATACCATACACGGAGGAATCATGGGGAACAGGCTTAGGAAAAAGAGCTTAGAACATTCTCCATGCTGGAGTGAGCTGATTAGGGGGAAGGTAGAAGGGAACAGATATCAATTCTAACTCAATCCAGAACTGCTTCCTTTGACCACACCAGAGTGAAAATTCAGTTTATACGAAAGAATCCAGGAAGGAAAATCTCCCTGGGAAATGTTGGACAGAGACCACAGGGGTTCTGTTATTCCCCTTTGCCTTTTCACTTCTAGGAAAAACTTTAAACCAAATAAAAATACCTCAGCTTCCTCTTGCTCTTTTTTAAGTCGATCTAGCATCTGTTGAAATTCGAACTCTTTCTGCCTCGCTTCTTCAGTGTTTGCCTGGTTCTGTTCTTCATAGGCCATGGCAACGACAGCCAAGATCAAGTTTATTAGATAAAAGGATCCCAGGAAAATCACCACAACAAAGAAGATCATGTAGGTTTTCCCAGCAGCACGCAGGGTCTAGGCAAAAAAGGAAATCATTATTTTAATAACACAGAGGGTTTTTTTTTTTTGGTAAATCATTTCAACTTGAATGGCTTATTAAGGCATGGTAAATCGAGCAGTTCTGTATAGTCTCATGTTATAGAAAAATAAAGGAATAAAATTGTATCTTCATGGAAAAACAATCAGTATTAAAACATACACTTTTCCAGGACAAAAGATATAGCAATGTACTAAGCCTGTACCAAAATTAAATATGATTCTAGACTATTATAAGCTTAATAATAACTCTGAATTTTTTTCTCCCATAGTCTGAAAATTACTCAAAAACTAGCTGTTTTTACTCATTTTCAAATTATAGGACTACACAATTTCTATAGTATCACATTCTGATATATTAAGTGTTAATGTTTATGTTATCACAAGGTAGATAGCCTTATTAAATGAACTTATGTATTCAACTTTTACATATTTTTAATTAACATTAAAAAATTTTAAATGTAATACAGGGTAAAAAATTAAATTGTACAAACAGATATTAACTGAAAAATAAGTTTCTTTATCCTATCTCTAATAACTCAATTCCCTTTGCTATCAGTATCAGTTGTTACTGAACTCTTATTTTGGATAAATTCTTAGTAGTGGAATTCTTAAGTCAACAGGCATATTCATATTAATTTTCATAGAAACTCCCATGCTACCCTCTCCAGTGGTTCACAGAAATGTGTGAGAAAATCTGCCTCCCCATAGCTTAATCAGACAGCATCTTCCTCTTGATCAGGTTTTTGATCTTTGTCATTCCAAGAGATGAAAAGTTATATGTCACTCTAGTTTTAATTTGCAGTAAAGGTGAGTATCTTTTTGTATCCTTAAACAGTCATTTGTATATTTCATATTTTTTCCTGTGAAGTAAGATTTCTATATAATTTCTATAATTCATTCATAATAGTCTCAGAAATGAAACAGACATAAAACAGGCCAAAAGAAGAATCTGTGGCAATCTGAGAAAAGTGACTCATTATTTTTTGTAACACAAAATAATCATTTTTGGTCTCCTTTCTCTTGAGGTTGGATGCTGATAACATATAGGTGAAAAGACAGAGCCCACAGTTCCAAGAAGATCACATGTAAGTTGGAAGAGATGGCCACATGAATGAAGAATCCCACTATAAGAGATGGATGCTGTAACCTGCAGTTGAGTTAGGAGAGGAAAACTTAGAGCTATGAGTTGAGTCTTCTATTCTTATTCCAGTTTGCCCAGGCTGCCATAGCAAAATCCTATAAATTGGGTAGCTTACACAACAGAAGTGTACTTTCTCATAGTCCTAGATGATGGAAAGTCAAGATCAAAGTGTTGCCAGGTTTGGATTTTCCTGAGGCCTCTCCCCTTGGCTTGTGGACGGCTGCCTTCTGAGTCCTCACTCGGCGTTTTCTCTCTGTGTGTGTGTATGTGTGGTGTCTCACTCATGTCCTAACTTTTCCTTCTCATTAGAACATTAGATCGGCTTAGAACCTACCCAAGTGGCCTCATTTTAACTTGTGCTCAGTCGCTTAGTCGTTTCTGACTCTGCATCCCCATGGACTGCAGCCTGCCCGGCTGCTCTATCCATGGGATTCTCCCGACAAGCATACTGGAGTGGGTTACCATTTCCTTCTCCAGGGGTTTTTCCCGACCCAGGGATTGAACCCGCATCTCCTACATTGGCAGCTGGATTCTTTACCACTGAGCTACCTGGAAAGGCCTTCATTTTAACTTAGCTATCTCTTTAAGGGCCATAACACTAAACATAGTCATTGTAAGGTACTGGGAGTTAGGACTTCAACATATGAATTTGGGAGAGATACTACGAAGTCCAGAACAAGTGTCCAAGGTAGTTCAAAAACAAAGCTTGGTGAGCACCGGAGAGCCTGGTACTTAGAGCACTCTGAGCAGGGAGGCATGTGCGGGAGCACGGCGTGTACAGCAGTGCTATGAGAGAGTGTTATAGGATACGTCTTGCTATTTACCTAGGACCCCATGGGACGCTACATTCACAAAGAGGGAAAGAGATCTGGAGATCAAAAAGCCCAGAAAAGATAAGAAAATAATTTATGATTCAAGAATGATCCATTCTAAAAAAAAAAAAAAGAATGATCCATTCTAATAGTACTAGAAATAGAACACACAGGACTAATACAATAGAGTTTTCTCCATTCTAAACTGAATAAAGTATCTCATACATAAAGCGGGTTAGGACATACATCAGCTGTTTCATGCAATGAATACAATGAATGATTCTCTTGGCACTCACCTGTTGGTAAAGGTTTTCCCAGTAATCCTGGGTCATTAGCCGAAACAAGGCTAAGAAGGCCCAGCTGAAAGTGTCGAAGCTCGTGTAGCCATAGTCAGGATTTCTGCCAATCTTCCTACAGGTGTACCCTTCTGGACACTGACTACATGTGAAAAAGAATATCATACGTCAGGGGACCTTCAGGATGCAAGCTAAAGAGTACTACAGAGAAGTCAAAAACTCAAGATTCCTTTCTAGGGGACAATACTGAATAATGATTAAGAACACACTTTTTGCAGTCAGGAAGAAGTGGGTTTCAACCCCATCCCTACTTTTTAGTAGTTGCTGACTTTGTGAAATTACTTAAATTCTGCAAGGCCCAGTTTCTTCTTTCCATGAGACAAGACAATAATACGTACTTCCATAGATTAAGATTGTTTTTAAGTTTAAAAAGGATAATGTATGCAAATTACCTAACCTACTTCCTGTACATTAAAAAACATTTGATAAATGGTGGCTGCTATCAGTATCATCATCAAACAATCATCAAAACTTGAAAACTTTCACTAGATATCATATAACAATTCTTATATTCACAAAGATTGATATTAATACACAGGTCTCTAATAAAACAGTTTCCCCAAATTATTCTTGAGGTGAACTAGAATCAACAGCAGTCAACAGATAGCAATTGTATAAGTTCATGGAGATTTATAATTAGACTTTTTGTGTTTTTAAAGTTGGTAGATTGGTATCCACGATGACAGATAAAAGGTGTTCTGATGTGTCTTTGGGAGCAGCAACTTTATCTTGTTTATTTTTATGTTCCCTGTATACACAAAGCCTGGTCAAGAGATCTCCGGGCAGGGAGAGTGCAAGAACAAAGGCCCTACAGCAGAAATAAACTTGGTGTATGGGAGAAACAGCAGGTACTTACATAAATACGATACCTTAAAATAGTATCATGTCCATGGGACATGGGACCCTTTTTACCCATGGGACCCTTTACCCAAGTCCATGGTACCCTTTTGTTTAGAGTGGCCAAACTGTCACTGCATTCTGTCACCTTTGAACTGTACTTGATGAAACAATGAGTAGAATTTGGGGATGGAAAGAAAAGTTGATTTTATCACTCTTCTTTCTGGAAAGAAGAAAGGCTAGAAACTATCCAAACAACTTTTGGTTCAGTTTTTTGTAAGTAACTTTTTTCTACTTCCTTAAGATATATATGAGTTGCATCTTGTTTTAATTCAAGCATACCAATGTCTTGCTTTCAAAAGTACGCATTAACCATGATCCTTTTAAAGTCTGGACTCACTGTGGGACAGAATGAGTCAAATAATGTCATGAAATATAAGAAAATAACATAGTATCAAAGGTCCTTCTTAGCAAACTGATTGAGATTGCTTTTTCTTTTTTTCAGTCTTTAGACTAAATTGAAACAAATATTACATACCCTGAATCCGTGCTGAAACCACAAAGGAGAGCGTCTTTGGATCCCTCCAAGTAATAAAAATACTCTGTTTAGGAAGAAATTGGACATCACATTATGGAGTGTAAGCTTTCAGGGTGGCTGAGCAGGTAAGTTAACTAAAACAGATCTATTTACAAATATATTCAGGTCTGGCAATAGGCATTCATTTATTTATTGTATTCTTATAAATTCTCACTCAAATATGTCTTGATAACCTATTATGGGCCAGGCAGTGAATACAATGACAAACAAGGTAAATAAGATCATCAGTTTTACGAAGCTTTACGCTCAGGTAAGGGTAGAGGCTAGGGATGGAGAAGAACACTTAACACGTACATAAATAAATACACAAAGGATTTTCACATAGGGGAAGATGCCATTAAAAGATGAATTAAGAAAGTGTGACAAAAATGTGGCCAGGGAAGTCTTTTCTAAAGGGATGACATTTAAACTGGGACCTAAATGCTACAGAGAAGCCAGCTACCCAAAGATCCTGATGAAGAGACATCTTGACAGGGTAAAGAGCAGAATAAAACCCTAAGGTAGAAATGAAGTTGGTATATGGGACAAAACAGCAAAATGGTCAGCCCAGTTACAGTGTAGTGAGTGGGGGGTATTGTGGGGGCAGAGATAGGCAGGGGCCATGTGGCAAGGCTTTGCATGACATGGAAAGGAGTTTGGATTTTAAGTATGATAGGAAGTAATAGAAGTAGGAAGTAGAGATACAAGATAATGTTGCTGTGGCTGCTCTGTGGACTCTGGACAATAGGAGGGCAAGTGTGGAGGCAGGGATACAAGCTAAGAGACTACAGTGAGAGGTGACAGGGCTCCAGAGAGTGCCATGGATACGGAGAGAAGGGGAGAGAACAAAGGTGACAGGATGTGCTGATGGCATGTGTGGGGGGTGTGGAAGAGAGGGGACACGGGGATGTATCAACTGGTCAGAGTGGTGCCAGTTATGGGATAAGGAAGCCTGAGGCAAAGAAATGGCCTGAAGGAAAACCAGGCTCTCTGTCTTAGCTGTACCTTGTTTGAAATGATTACTAGGTATTTAATTATATGTGTTAAGCAAGTAAGTGGATGGATATGTCTTAAGGTCAGTGAAAGTATCAACCACAGTCAGGCCAAGGGGATCTGATGAATGAACCCAGAGAGAAAGTGGAGTGGGGGCGGATAGGAACAACAAAAGGAAAAGACCCCAAGGATTCCAGAAGAGGAAGAATCGGCAAGGCCAAACCATAAGCGAAGGAAATATATTTTCCGAAATTCTCTCATTGTTTACGCACTAATCAACATCGACTTACGACTTACTAAGTTCTGGAATGTTGAGGACCTGGGACTAAAATAAATGCACATTTTCCCCTCTCACGGTACCCTTCGTGCCCATTTTCAGGTGTAAAGGAACTCATAACTCTTCTTTATTCACTATGACAACTTATTCTTAATACAGAGGGCTGATCCAAAAGTACATAGTAAAGGTATAAAGGACAAAAACAATTTTAATAGGGGCTCAACTTCCTATTGGCTCAAGTCAAAAAAATATATATACATATATATATAATTTTTAGCAGCCTCTGGAGTAAAAGTAGAACAAAGACTCTGAAGTCAGATGTACTTAAATTTGAATATTGCTTCTACCCTTTCCTATGTAAGTGAATTGTTTTACCACTTCATGATTTAGCTACTGCATTTGTAAAATGTGGATAGGAACACCTACTTCAAAGAGCTATTGAATAGTACTAATATGATATTGCATGTAAAACACTTAACAGAGTACCCCACACTTTCTATATAAATACTCAAAAAGCAGCAGCTCTTATTAAAAAACTTCAGGTAAGACTGACCGACTTACGCATCACCTTATGCAGAAGACACAAATCTTAGAAGACACAAAGCAATAAAGCCTCTTAGTTTGGGGAGAAAATTCTCACACTGTGCTTAAAAAAAAAAAAATCCTGTGCCTCAGGGAGGGGGGACATGGCAGAATGAGGATAGAAAACTTATCATGCAACTTTTTATCCATAAATATCTGAGATTTTTTTTATTATGGAAAGATTACTTTAGAGTCATCCTTTAAAGTAATATTGATTCACATTGGCCAGTCACAGAGGAGTTGCTTTATAAAAGTGGGCTCTGTAGCTGCCTGTGTAGGCATGCTACAAGGCTGACTATTCAATTCAGCACATGAATGATGAAAGGGAAAGCAATGGGAAAGCTCACGCTGGTCTGGTGGAACACTTGAAAATAAATCCTAAACAAGTAAAGTATTAAGGTAATTAGCCTCAAGAGAATTTAAGGTTAACATGTAATGGGAGAATGTAATATGAAGAGAAGAATTCCTCTTCTGTTACTCCCAGCAAGTGATACATCTCACACTTTTCTGTGGAAATAAAACCCCCTGGGCTTGACTTAATCCTCTTCTGATGAACACTGGAGCCTGCTCCTCCATCTTTCCTCCTGCTTCAGTGGTGGAGATGTCTCCCCTTCGCTCTTCCACTTTCTCAAGGAATTGCCTCTCCCTACTCTCCTGAATTATTAATCTATATTTTACTATTCATTCCTTTTTAGTGCTAGAAAAATACCTCTATCAAAATCCACCTTTAAAAAAATGCCAGCCACTGTCACTGTTATTCTGATTCCCTTATAGACAAATGTCTTTGAAGAACTGTCTACACATACTGTCTTCTCTTTGTTCCGCTACCTTATTCACCCCTGTCACCACCTTAGTCCAACCCTGATCTCCTATGACTATGCTAAAATTTCTGCATGAAAGTGACTAATGATTTCCATGTTGTTTAAGCTAATGTACAATTCTCCATCCTCATCATCCTTGACTTTAACCTTAATCCTTGATCTTGCAGCATCATTCAAAACAAGCATTCCCTTTTTCTCAATCTACTTTCTTCTCTTGGCATCCTTACTTATATCTTTGCTTCTTGCTTTACTGGCCACTCTTTCTCTATGTCTTCTTTGGGGTACTCCTCTCTACCTGCCTTCCAGACATTAGGGTTGTGGAGATGAGCAGCTTCTAACCACCAAATTTGTTTTAAAAAACAGATTGCCCATTTTCTACCAACTTATAAACATCAGGGTTTTTCAGAAGGATGTGGGTAGTTGTGTACATATCTTTTCCTTTTGATGAATACTTTGAAGCATATATCTCCAAACTAGGCAGTTCCTCTGGTCTCTATGCTTAAATCTCCAATTGTCTACTTTCTATCTCCATTTGGATGTCCCAGTGGCTTCTCAATTTTAACTGGGTAATACTGACTTTCTCCAATAAGCCTGCCCACTCTTCCCTCATTTCCCATTGCCACCTATCCAGTTACTATGGCCAGAAACCTAGATGAGATCCCCAAGCTCTCCTCTCCTCTTTAATCCATCCATGAGTTTTATGGGTGTCATCTTGAACACACCTTTTTCATTTTCTGATTTCACTCAAGATGAAGTCACAATCTTTTCCTGTTTGGATGACAGAAACAACATCCTAACTGGTCTTCACTATTTCAGTCTACCATCCATTCTTGCCCAGTGAGTTCTCCATATGGCAAAAGTGATTAAAACCACTGCATTTAAAATAAAATCACAACTCCTTTCCTTGGGCTAAAATATCCTGCATGAAATGACCCCTGCCTTTTTCCTTTACTTTCTCTGTTGCCATTCTGCCTCTCTTTTGCTAAAGTCTATCCACACTGTTGTTTTCCCATTCTTTTTTTCCCATTCTTTAAATACACACTCCTTCCAGTCTTAGGGCTCTCCCACAAGCTCTTCCTTCTAACTTAAGGAACAGCCTCCATATACACTTAAACTGTGTGATGACTTCTTCTTATCCTTCAGATCTCTGCTTAAATGCCACCTCCTCAGAGAAGGCTTTTCATTTAGTTGGTATCTCTGCCCTTGAGATTTACTTTCTTTTTTTTTTTTTGAGATTTACTTTCTTTGCATAGTACTTATTATAACTTATAATATTACTATTTGTCTGTTCCCCTCCTTTAATTCTTTTATTTCCCCAAGAGGATAAGCTCTGTGGATGCTGGGTCTAAGGCTATCATACTCATCGCTGCAGCTCCAGAAACTTGCACAATGCTTAGCTCAAGGAAGCATTCAATAAACAGACACGATAAATGAATGCTTGAATAAATATTGCAGTGAGATCAGGCTTCTATGACACAAAAAACAGGTGGGAAATCAAACTCAGATTTAGCACAGTAATCTCTGCTGTGAAAGTATATTTCAGAGGAAAATCAAGACTAATGTACAGATGTGAGGGAGATGGTGGTATAAAGTTTCACTCTTAGCTAAGTTGTCATGCACTCACATGTAAATGCAACATAAGGAAACACTGCAAAATCTAAGAGCTTTTACTACTCCTTTCAAAAAAAAATTGCTTATAGTAATTCTAAAATGTTTTTAAAAATCATTCAAATCATGAATTCAGGAATGAGACCAAGATTCTGAAAAAAGGACATAGTGATCCTAGTACAAAAAGTCAAGTTTAAGTAAGTGCTGTAAACCAATTCATAAAACAGAATATAAATGTCAGCAATTACCTGTAAGATATATAAATTTTTATGGCATATAAATTAGAAATAAAGTCTTTTGGAAATAAATAAAATTTAGGATCCTATTAATAAAATCAGAAGCCAAAAAAATAAATTAAAAAAGGGAAGGAAAATTTGCTAAATTCCTTATCAAATACTGTTAGTAAAAAAAATACATTAAAATTTTACTTTTAAAATCTTCAATTTTCTTGTTTTAGGTTCCTTTTTTCAGTTTTATTTACAGTTTTTTCCTATATTAGCTAGATTTTATTTGCCTTTATAGTTCTCAGTGAGTAGGAAAAACACACTGAGTTAAAAAAGAAGATATATATGACTCTTTATTATTTAAGGAGAATTAACACCTGAGCTTTACTCCCTGATCCCCTTCTATCTAAGGAACTTACATGTCCATTTTACCTCGGGATTCAATTATCTATTAACATTCATGGGTTCACTGGGTAACATCATACAGACACACTGCAGGTGTTAAGACAGAAAGTACAATCTTGCCAGACCTCATTCTCACTCAAACTAATCAGCTTTGGTGAAAGAAACTGTGGTAGGAGATAACTGTTAGGAAACATGCAATTTATGCTTTCTGTAAGATACTCAAAAATACATTTGTGAATTAAGTAGACTTCTGAGACTGTGTATACATATCATCTGAAATGATAGCTACAGAACAAGTTCTGAGGAATTAAACTTCAATGGTCTATTAGCTAGATTGAGGGGAGCCATTAGAAAGCTCTGTGAAACACATCATTGGTTATAATAGGAGGAGAGAGCTTAATATAATAGGATAAAGCTGAGTAGATTTCTCTGCTTATACAAATCTTTAGAAATATATTGAGACAAATATTTTAATATGTGATAATTGACATTGTACCATGATTAATAATGTTATAAGAATAATACAAGTATAAAAATGTAATTGTATTATTATATAAATCATACTATAAAAAATGTAAGCATAAACTACACAATAAAACTACAGTATATAAATACATAGTTCATGATGAAATCTAATGGTTAATATCATAAATTTATAGCTAAATTTATTTCTCTACAGCCAAGTTTATTCTTTTTTATCTTACAGAAATTGAGAATTATGGAACTATCCCAAGTTCTCAATATTAGAACTGCTAGACCCAGGGAAATTTATGAAAATACACGATAAAAATTCACACTTTTGCAACTTTCTGTATATTTGAGTGATTCTGAAATAATTAAAATGAAAGCAACATTTCATTGCCAAAAGAGAACAATGCTCTTAGCACTATTTCAACCTATTAGCAACTACAGGGATATTCTTACTTGCATATTCTTCTTCATCGAGGGTATCCAATATATTTTCTATTGTTTCATTGTTTTCAAGTGAAGTCTGCACACATTTATGCTTTAGGTTGCCCATAAAGAGCTGCAGCCCAATCAGGGCAAACACGCTCAGACAGAACACAGTCAGGATCATGACATCTGAGAGCTTTTTCACAGACTGGATCAGGGCCCCCACGATGGTCTTCAGGCCTGAATACAGAGAAGGAAAGGTGTTCACAATGAAATAAAGTTTCTAAATGAAAAACGAAAACAAAATACAAGCTTTCCTAGAAATGCATGCACTTTATCAAATCAATGATCTTAAATAACCTAGTTCAAAAAAAAGTCTACCAGCTCAAAAGGGGGGACCTGCTGTTTTATATATTTTGTTTCTGTATATTACAGCAAGTGACTAAAAACTTTAAAGTATTTCCAGAGAATAACTAGTCAAAATGAATAATTTGGTTGCTCGAATCATAGCCACACTCACTTGAAAAAATAACCTGTGTCAGCTCAGTAAATGTCTGTCAGACAAACCATCTCTTTATAATGACCAAAACAGAGGCTGAACTGCAGGATACAGTGACAAGTTTTCAGTAAAGAAATGGTTTGTTGAGGAAAGAAAAAAGCATTGTGTCATGCAATCCTCCCCATGCTAATATTTTTGTATCTCTTTTCTTCATTCTATGAAAAGCAGTAAAACAAATTGAAATTTTCATTCCTGGATAAGCAAAATGGAAAAGTAAACTGTTAAACAGGAGGAAAAATTTCAAGTTTAGATGTGAACCAAATGGCCATCTTCATCCTCTAAGACTCATGCAATTGATTAAACTCAAAGGCTGACTTTTCATAACAATTATGAAAAACATGAAATTAAATTTAATTAAGAATTATTTAAGATTAAGTTTTTATTGTTTTTTCCTTCAAAAGATCAAAGTCAGCCCTGGTGTTTAACCCCACTCTCACCTGGAATGACTGAAATTGTTTTCAAAGCTCGGAGAACTCTGAATGTTCTCAACGCTGAGACATTGCCCAGGTCCACAAACTCTGTCACATATCTGTAATGGGGAGTTTATACACAAACACGGTGACAACACACACACACACACACACACACACACAAGCAAAGAACAACTCCCAGAGAGTTGGAGCTATGAGTGACCTAATGCTTCACACCAGTTACTTCTTACCTGGGATTACAGAAATAGTTTTCAAAGCTCTCAACACTCTGAAAGTTCGAAGAGCTGAAACATTGCCTAGGTTTACAAATTCTGTTAAATACCTGTAGAATTAAATCAGAGTTATTCAGAATTTAGATAGAGTCTATGATACTTACCTGTGCCTTTAGTCAAGGTGTTTCCTATGCTTGGAACTTCTTATTTAAATTTATAGTTCTGCAAATCTTTTGCTTCTATCATTACTAATTTAATTTGATTTCAGTCATTTGATGTGAGCAAAATGCAAATATTAAAATGGCTTCATATACTTAAATGCCTAAATAAATGATGAAATGCTTCAATGACTAGACTTCAATATTATGGTATAATGTTCTATAAAACACCATCAGAAAATCTTGACAACTCTATGCTAATTAAAAGAACCCAGCCACAAAAGGCCACATATTTTAAGATTCCATTCATGTGAAATGTCTCCATTAGGCAAATCCAGATACAGAAGATAGATGAGTGTTTTCCAGGGACTTGGGGGAAGAAGGGGAAGGAAAGTGACTGCTCTTTGGGATAATGAAAATATTCTGGAGTTAGAGGGTGGTGATTGCTGCATAACTTTATGAACATACTATAAAACACTGGATTTTATACTTTAAAAAAGATAAAGTTTATGGCATGTAATTTATACTCAATAAAAAAGGAGACCCCTGAGAAGATGCAGCCTTCTCTGACACAGTGTTATCTTAGCAGATGGTGGGTGGACCTACAGTAGTCGTAGATGAAGGACAAAGAGGTGGGGCAGGTGTGCAGAATTGGAGCCTAGAAATCTCAAGACCCTTGCATATTGTCTAAATCCCTCCAATGAATGTGTATTACTTTTACAATTCAAAATGACAGAGGGAAAATATTGTATATAGGTTTGAGATTTAAAAACTAAAGAAATGTTCTGACAAATATATTTAGGAAAAGAGCAGCAATATAAATAAGCTAAAATTATATCTTAATGTGATATTTTTCCCATGAAAATAAACTGTGGATGCCTATGTAATACATACACAATGCATTAATGTTAGGTTTAGTATGCAGTGACAGTCCTTATGAAAAGATTTGCTTCTATATTTTATTAGTTCTTGAATAATATATATTAATAGAAAGAGCACCATGCTAATAATAAATGCCTTCGTTTTCTCTGTTTCTCTTATCGGTTTTACCAGATATTAAATAGGAACCTGGAAAAAAGTGTGACTCTAACTGGCACCACATATGCTATCCATCCACATGCTGAGCACAGAGGAAGATCCTCTATTATAACGATATCATATATACACGTTTGAGTGGGAAATGCTCTTTCTGAAAAATTGTTACCATTTTTTTATGACTAGTTTCCATGTAGTATCTTTTAAATCAAACTATTATATGCAGGAAAAGTCTGATCCCAAAGTTCTTTCTCACTGGGATACTGTGCTGTCTGAGAGTTTCATGAGTTTGGAGTTTCAAAAAATAAATACTTACGCAAAGACGATGACTATGAAATCAAGCCAGTTCCATGGGTCACGAAGAAAAGTGAATTCTCCTACACAGAATCCTCTTGCAAGGATTTTCACAAGTGACTCAAAAGTATATATTCCAGTAAAAGTGTACCTAGGTAAAAGAGTCCATTGTGATATTAATCCATTGTGAAAAGAATATGGTACCATGTGAGCCTTTATAGTTATTTTTCTCAGATCAACCAAAGGAAGACACTGATTAGAGTATGGCTGATTAAGGCGCCCATTCTAACTATGAGAATAAATTACAATTAAGATCTTTCCAGAAAATCTTGAAATATATATGCCAGAAACACTCGCAGAAAGTAGAGGTATTTTAAATTTACTAAGAACACAGGTATGAGATTAGCCTAGAAAAACTCCTGTATTGTTCCTATCAGAAATACATCCAAGGACAAGAGATACATAACATGTCTAAGAACAGGCAGGGTATCTGGTAAGATCTTTTTTTCTAGAAAAGACTGTAACATGTATTATTCTCTTCTAATGTTAGCAGGTTAATACTGTAGAGGAGAAAAAACTAATTGAAAGTAAAGTAACTATAGAACATGGGAAGATAATCACCACAATTTTTATACATGCAATAACTTCCTGGTTTGAAAAAGGAAGGATAACAATAACCATACTAAGACTATATTAAAATGTACTTATACCCACTTACTCTACATTCTTGGTCCAGTCTGGAGGATTACTCATGGTCATAAATATGCAGTTCGTCAGAATAGTGCACATGATAAGCATGCTGAATGCGGTAGCTTAGAATCAAGGAATATGATCAAAGAACATATGGTAACTTTGAATATCTGATAACAACATTTGTTGAAATGCTGACAGTTTTTCCTTAGAAAATAATTCTAAATGAGCCTATAGACTTTAAAAAACCTCTCTAAACAAAAGGGTAATGGATAAAAGCAATTTATCCTAAAATACTAAAATTGCCATGATGACGATGATATGATGAATGCATGCATGCAAGCTAAGTCACTTCAGTCATGTCCAACTCTTTGCAAACTTATGGACAGTAGCTCACCAGGCTCCTCTGTCCATGGGGTTCTCCAGGCAAGAATTGAAGTGGATTGCCATGCCCTCCTCCAGGGGATCTTACTGACCCAGGGATCAAACCTGCATCTCTTTGTCTCTTGTATTAGCAGGTGAGTTCTTTACCACTAGGGCAACCTGGGAAGCCCAAAATTGCCATACTCCCAATCTATTCAGAGATCTACACCAAATTATATTGAGATTGATAAATCTGAGTCTTTTCAGGTAAAAAAAGAAATAAAAATCTATGTTTAAATAAAATAGCCAGAAATTACATTTTAAAGAACCACTGTAAGTAAGCATTTTAAAAAGGATATGCATGTACTAAAATCTTAATAGATATTCTTCTGAGAGGACTGAAAGGAGACAGCATGTACAAAGCAGGTGTGGCATTGAAACGGAAGATTGCTTTCCCTTTGTTCAACACTATGAAAGTCTGCAGGAGCAAAAAGAAAACAGTATGAATTGAGATTTCAAAATTTCAATCTAGTACATTAATATCTGCAGTTTACCTCTGCATGTGGTACAGTCATATTAAAGAAACACTGTCATCAGACTCAAGCACTGTGGTTCCAAGGCCACTGATGGAGATATTCATGTCAAGTTAGCCAATGAACTCGAAGTCCATAGTCCATTTCTTCAATAAAGTAAGAAGTGAGCCATTTATGAGTATGTATTATTTAGAACTTTCAAAACGCCGTGTTCTCTTTTTCATATCCCTTAACATTCAAATCAGTAACAATAACTTGTGGCCACTGGAATTATTTTAACTACAACTTCCTTGTATCATTACATTGCATTTTATGCAAACCAAATAGCAACCAGCTATCCCTGATTCTTATCATGTTGCTTTGAGAATTGTAATACTTCCTGGCTATTGTCAGGGTTAGTAGCAAATGTTCTAAAATATGAGTTTTCAAAATATTTTCATGAATTTAAGGAACATTAGAGTTGAAAGAATCCTGTTACTCAATTTGATTTTCCTATTTTACATATAATACTAATAACAGCTAAAATAAAAGAACACAAATTAAAGAACTTGTTTGCTACTATCCACAGTAATTTTTTGAAATGTGAATAGAACCAAACATTTAAAAAATATCTTATGCAACCACTGAATAATGAGTTACATTCTCCATGGCTTTGGTATTTAGTTGAAAAATTTAAAAGCCAAACAAATAAACAGCAATAACAACAAAACAAAACAACCTAAGGAATTGGCTTGGAAACCAGAAAGACTTAAGTTCAAAGCCTCCTCTTACTTATCTGTGGCTGGCAAGCAAATTCCTTGTGCTATCTATTAACAGAAGACACTGATTTTTGGTCTTCTTGATGTTGATTCCGAATTTTACATATGTTTATGAATGACAAACATATGTAATAAATATTTCCCACCAAATTTTAGAGATATAACTTTAGGTAATCTTGCTTTTGTATGTGGCAGTGTTCCTGAGAAAACAAACAAGAACTATCTTAGGTTAACTTTTTATACTCCTGGTCCCTTTTACTATACCAGTTACGTTAAAACATAATTGAACATAAAGTTTACTTTTATCTTGAAAATTAGTTTTTAAAATTAATACCTCATGTTTGAGTACAATTATTGTTTTCTTAAATCTCAATACACTATGCTTTTTAAAATTCATTGATCTAATATTTTCTACAATTGTGTAGTGAACATGTGTGCTAAGTCACTTCACTGTTGTCAACTCTTTGTGACCCTTTAGATTGTAGCCTGCCAGGCTCCTCTGTCCATGGGATTTTCCAAGCAAGAATACTCAAGTGGGTTGCCATGCCCTTCTCCAGGGGATCTTCCTGACCCAGGGATCAAACCAGTATCTCTTAAGTCTCTCCTGCATTGATAGACAGGCTTTTTTTTTTAACCACTAGTGCCACCTGGGAGCAACTATGGCATAAGAGATACTGAAGTAAAATTGAACATAAGTGAGGCATGAATTTTGCATTTAAGAGGTTTCAGAGAAAAGTGATTAAGAGCACAGTAACTCTAACACAGGGCTTCCTTGGTGGCTCAGAAAGTAAAGAATCTGCTTACAACACAGGAGACCTGGGTTCGATCCCTGGGTTGGGAAGATTGCCTGGAGGAGAGCATGGCAACCCCTCCAACATTCTTGCCTAGAGAATCCCCATGGACAGAGAAGCCTGGCGGGCTACAGTCCATGGGGTCACACTCAGACATGACTGAGCGACTAAGCAGACAGCGCAACTCTAACACAAGGCATGACGTGACAGGCATCACACAGAGAAATGCAAATGGCAGAGCATGAGGGGGAAGAGGGAGCAGGGTCTTATGTCTATTGGAATAATCAGGGAGGCTTCATGAAACAGAAGTCATCTGAGCTAACATGAAAATGATATTACTGCCTCAACTTGACAAGATCAAGTTAACTTGTACTTGAAATTAAAAAAAAAAAAAAGACTTGGTTTACTATTTTTAAATTCAAATTCCCAGTTTTCATTTACATTAAAAACTTCTTTAGGATTGCCTGGATTTATACACACCCACTAGTTAATTACAGATGGGAAAACAGATATGAAATTTTGAGTAGCAGAATGAGTATCTCTAGAAAACTCTAAAATCCTGCTAGCAAATGTACAGATGTCAATGTCTGAATAAGTTATTTTAATATGGCTAATTTATTTAATAATTTATTGAACATAAAATTAGAGAATTATGAACTTAGGAGTATAAGCTTTGGAGTGGGACAGGTAGTATTCTAAATACTTGATCTACCATTTCACAACTTGAGAGCTAGCACTCAGTGTCTGTGGAGCTTTTAAGTTATGGTACACATTTCACGCCGGTCAGAATGGCTGCTATCCAAAAGTCTATAAGCAATAAATGCTAGAGAGGGTGTGGAGAAAAGGGAACCCTCTTACACTGTTGGTGGGAATGCAAACTAGTACAGCCACTATGGAGAACAGTGTGGAGATTCCTTAAAAAACTGGAAATAGAACTGCCATATGGCCCAGCAATCCCACTTCTGGGCATACAAACCAAGGAAACCAGAAATGAAAGAGACACGTGTACCCCAAGATTCATCGCAGCACTCTTTATAATAGCCAGGATATGGAAGCAACCTAGATGTCCATCAGCAGATGAATGGATAAGAAAGCTGTGGTACATATACACAATGGAATGTTACTCAGCTATTAAAAAGAATGCATTTGAATCAGTTCTAATGAGGTGGATAAAACTGGAGCCTATTATACAGAGTGAAATAAGCCAGAAAGAAAAACACCAATACAGTATAGTAACACATATATATGGAATTTAGAAAGATGGTAACGATAACCATATGCGAGACAGCAAAAGAGACACAGATGTATAGAACAATCTTTTGGACTCTGTGGGAGAAGGCAAGAGTGGGATGATTTGAGAGAATAGCATTGAAACATGTATATTATCATATGTGCAACAGATCGCCAGTCCAGGTTCGATGCATGAGACAAGTGCTCAGGGCTGGTGCACTGGGATGACCCAGAGGGATGGGATGGGGAGGGAGGCGGGAGTGGGGCTCAGGGTGGGGAACACATGTACACCCATGGCAGATTCATGTCAATGTATGGCAAAACCACTACAATATTGTAAAGTAATTAGCCTCCAATTAAAATTAATAAATTTTTAAAAAGTAAGTTCTGGTACATTGTAAATTCTTGGTTAATGTTTGGAACATATATGCGTGCTAAGTCACTTCAGTCATGTCTGACTCTGTGTGACCCTATAGACTGCAGCTCACCAGGCTCCTCTGTCCATGGGATTCTCCAGGCAAGAATACTGGAGTGGTTGCCATGCCCTCCTCCAGGGGATCTTCCCACTCCAGGAATCAAACCCGCATCTCTTATGTCTCCTGTATTGGCAGGTGAGTTCTTCACCACTAGGTCCACCTGGGAAGCCACTTAATATATTCATCATATATGAAAATGATGCCCTAACCACTACATACCTCTACATTAGTTTACTACAAGGCATTGATAAATGCTCAGTGCATAAGCTAATGCATAAGATAAATGCACTGAACCGTAAGTTAAAATCTGAACCTAAGACAAATCAGGAATCAAGATTTTTATTCCAAGCAATGATTATAGTGTAGCAGAAATAAAGTTCTTGTCTATTAGAGTGAATAACATGAAATATTAAAGACTCAATCCACATGAAAGTCAACCCTGAAGTTGCAAGGGGAAGTCCAAACTATTTTAACCAAGAATGATTGAGGAGCTAGGACATGGCACAGAAAGTTGATCATTTAAAGCTACAAATGAAAAAATAAAAATAAGAAGACTCAATAATCCCTTTGGGTATTTATTCATCTGCTAAGAGAGGGCCATGAAAAATAGATTACTTAGTCTGACTTAACTCTACCTAAGTATTATATTCTGATGCAGATGTGCATTGGGCTTTTAACATGGTTGGTGTCACATCTGAAAGGAGTTGGGGCCAAAGCGAGGGATTGGAGTCCCATCCCAAATATTCTCTATTACATTAGTCTATCCCAGAGCTAAAATGATTCCATTTTTCATCCTCCAAATGCAAACATTTTCTTCTTATCCCCCAAGTCACTTTAAGCCAATATTAGTTTATGTCTCTGAACTGGGATTTACTCCAGAAAGATTTTTTTCCTCCTTAAGAGAGGCTGGTTAAATTACATCCAGGCCCCCTCTGCAAATGGGAGATGAAGGAGCCAGACATTTTTCAGGATGAAGTAATATAAGTAAAATGAGAAAGTATTTTTAATTTTGCCTATTTCATTATTTATCCATTCATTATTCCATTCATTTTTATAAAGTTGTGAGCAAAGCAGTTGCTATACAACAAAAACAAAACTAACCTAAGAGATGTACAACATCTCAGTAGGGAGTCAAATCAACTTGAACTAAAAAATCTAGGACAGAATTTATGAGTGTTTATGTAACATTTTGTGAGTTAATTAATTTCCTCAAATCCTTTATTAATTCCTATCTCTCCAGGTTGTGATGAATATGTTGCTAATTTGTATGAAAAATCCACTGTCTGTCACAGAGACCCTGAAAACATGCTAGCTTTCTTTTTTTCTGTATCGGACTACTGATGGGTTAATAAGAATGCTGAGTATTATCTCAAAGGCTTCTCAGGTATTCGGCTTACTCTTGACAGGCTGTCAGTTTGTTGAGATTCTGATTTTAATATGAAGCAAAAAATTACGTATTGTTATTCATAGCGATTCTCCCTGAAGTAGATGTGTTTACACCATCAAAATTAAGTTCATCATGTTTTCTATTTCACAAGACATTTCACTTTTCCTTATTTTATCTGCTAGCTATCTTAATCAAGAAATGTGCCCTTTTATTTATATCTTAGATCAAAATAACTTTTAAATGGACTTTATCCTGCCTTTCTTGACCTCTCGACGGTAAGTCTGCAGGTGCTGTGTAGCAAAATATTGTTGGGAGAAAGTTAGGGAACCTGCTGATTTTATCTTGTACTGTCTCCTCTTTGTCAAGTTCAATCTGGTTGTATCTGCTACTGTCTCAAAAATGATGGTAACCTCCTTCTCATTTTCTTGGTAGAATTATCTTTACAGCAGTTGTTTCAAACTCTCCCATGTTCTTAATGCAATTAATACTCTCAGATCTGCTGTTTCCAAGATTGACTCTCAAAGGACAACTTCCACTCCTGTAGTATGGAAAATATTGACACTATTTAACATGCATTTCCTCAGATGTGCCTATATTTACTTCAACATATCTTAAATTCATCCTATTTGCCCTACAAGGCTCACACAGTAAGGCTTCTCTCTACTCTTCTGCAGTTTTCTAATGCAAATGCAAGCCGACTTTTGGTTTATCCCTTGTCTGTTAACATCAGCAACTAACTGCTTTACTCAACCTTCTGTATTTTCCTCTCTGGGAATAATTTTTCTCCACTTTTAAACATGCTAATTATACCCTACGTAAAAAAGGTTTTCAAGGGACTTCCCTCGTGGTTCAGTGGTTGAGAATATGCCTGCCAATGCAAGGTGACATGAGTTTGATACCTGGTCTGGAGAGTCCACATGTCATGAGACAACTAAGCCTGCGTGCCACAACTACTGAAGTCCACGCTCTACAACGAGAGAAGCCACTACAACGATAGACTAGCCCTTGCTCGCCACAGTGAGAGAAAGCCTGCACACAGCAAGGAAGGCCTAGCACAGCCAAAAATAAATACTAAAAAATTTGTAACTGCAACATTTCATTATTTAAAAAAAAAAAAGCTTTCAATTTCTGTTGCCTAAGTGACCATCTTTCTGATGGAAATTTCTCAAATTTCTCAGCATGCATCAACTGGCACCCACACTTCCTCTTTTCACTTTCTGTCCACCATTATCTTGCTTTTTTTAAAAAAATGAATGGAGTATAGTTAATTACAATGTTGTGTTAGTTTCAGGCATACAGCAGAGTGAATCAGCTACACATATATCCTCTCTCATTTTTTTAAGATTCTTTTCCCATATAGGCCATTACAGAGTTTTGAGTAGAGTTACCACTCTCTTGCTTTGATTCCCATCAACTAACATAAACTGCTGGCAAAAAAGTTACCAACTCATCCTCCTTGTTCATTCCAGTAGTCTTTATCTAGCCTCAGCTTCCTGAGTAATTGTATTGGGATATTCTCTTTCCTTTTTTTTTCTGAATAGTAGAAAATTTTCTGATTTATGTCTTACCTCTCTGACCATCTCAGATTCTCCATTCTCTCCAACCCCCTAAATGAGTGGCTCTCGAAACCCCATAATTAGTTAAGTGATTTTATATATTCCCATAGATTCAACTGACACCTCTATGCAAATGCATTCTGGATGTATACCCACGTTTTACTTCTCACATTGACAGTTATTTTATTTCTATGAGGATGCACTTATGTCATGTCTAAAGGGCAAAACGTGATACTGAACACTATTAAGTTAAAGAAAAATCAAAATAGTATGCCAGTGACAGAATCAGTTTTGATGAAAAATTAGAAAAAGTACATATTCTGAAATATCCTACATATGCATTTTAACTAAACATGTTTTCATGATGTAGTTTTTCACTAAATTCCTCTTAATCTCAGTATCTGTTTGTACAAGAGGTAAAGAGAGACGGCACCACTGCAGGCACAGTAAACTCACTTTTTTGTCTGCATAGTAAGGGTCCAAGTCCTCCAGAGGCTCTGACACCATGCCCGGAGGAATGTCCCCATAGATGAAGGGCAGCTGTTTGCCGGCTTCCAAGTCACTGCTTGGCTTTGGCCCTTCTTCGTCATCGTCTTTCTTTTCTTCTTTGGGCTCCTTTGCTTTTCCTTCAGCAATACGTTGTTCAATGAGGGCAAGAGACTGTTTTGTGAAGAAGACAAAGCTCTGAGGTCCCGGGGGAGGCAACATTGCCATCTTTTCATCCTGTATGTTTTATTTCCCCTTCAACTCCTTACATAAGAGGCCTAAGGAGAAACAAAGACAGCCTTAACTGTTTGCCAGTCAAGAATGACACTTAACAAATAATAATAAGAATTATAGTAATAATAAAAAAGAGATTCTGGTTTCAACTGCAAGAAGTCGGGTGTTCACACAATTACCATCATGTTGAATGGGCACTTACTAAGTGACTACCATGTACATGACTTATTTTCCATGCCCTCTAATGAACTTTATTTAAGAATTTGAACTTAGTACTTCACGGATCTTAGTGACAGCTTAATTAAAAATGCTTAATTCGCTTTACTTTTCATCTGTGCTTACTCAGTGCAATTCAACTTTCCTTGTTTAAAAATCTTTATGACAGGGCTTCGGACAGCACCATTCTCCAGTTCTCCTCTTTCTGCATCACCTGATCCTATTCTGTCTGCCATACTCACAGTCTCTGCTTCTCTCTCTTAAAGAAACTCATTTCTATAAATTGAAGTGGTGGAAGATTGTTTTACTCTATTTTAAACATTTAGATTTTCTTACAATAAATACATGGGCTTCCCTGGTAGCTTAGATGGTAAAGAATCTGCCTACAATGTAGGAGATTGGGTTCAATCCCTAGGTCAAGAAGATTCCCTGGAGAAGGGAATGGCAATCCACTCCAGTATTCTTGCCTGAAGAATTTCATGGCTAGAGGAGCCTGGTGGGCTACAGTCCATGGGATTCCAAAGAGTCAGACACCACTGCGTGACTAACACAAACATACACACACACACAATAAATACATGCCATTTTACAAATTAGAAAACATTTTTTCCTTTTAAATTAAAAACAATTTAGGGAAATGCTTTAGAAGAACAAAGAAGATAAAAGGAATTTTGGAAATGTTTGGGATAGATTCAATTTTTAAAGTTAAAAAAAAAACAACTATGATAGGCACTCAAATTATGACTTCCTTAATTGACTTATATGTATACACAAAACATTACAAAAAGTACAGGAAAGAAAAATTTTAAAATTATATATTATTATTTTGGAATTATTTTGGAATTTTATAAATAAAAGTATAAAATTAACAGTTATTATTTTAAAAATAATAGGTGCATTATTTCATTGAGTCAAAGTAACTTCATAACTCCTCCACTGGGAAATAAAAATGAGCCCTTCTGCATTAGGATTGCCTGAGAGTTGGGATACACCAACTTCTAGTATGTCAACCTGCTGTGAACAGCTTGAAAGACTGTGCATTAAGTGATGTCTTGATACACAAAGGGAGGATGAGCTAAGAGAAGCCATAGTCTACTCTTTTATTTTCCACTGTGAAATATAAAATATTAAGCAAATCACAATTGTGACAACACAGGTTATATAGATTCAGAAAAAGAAGTGAAAGGAAGCTGAAACTAATTATTTTTTCTTTTACAGATTTCTCCTCTTCCCATGTTAAACAAAATCAACTCTAGTTATGTTTATAGCAAAATGGATATCTCTTCCCCTTAGCTACTTGAGCACAGTATAAGAATAACAACCCTTATCAGTAAGTAGTAGTGTTAATCGCTCAGTCGTGTCCAATTGTTTGCAACACCACAGACTGTAGCCCACCAGTCTCCATTGTCCATGGAATCCTCCAGGCAAGAATACTGAAGTGGGTTGCCATTCCCTTCCACAGGGATCTTCCTGACCCAGGGATCCAGCCTGGGTCTCCTGCATGGCAGGCAGATTCTTTACTCTCTGAGCCACCAAGGAAGCCCTTATCAGAATTCTATCCATTTTTTAAAGGTGGAAAACCAGTTTAAAAACAACATAAAAACAATCATTTTCCAATGTAAATTTATGTAAAAACTTATAAAGCAAATTTAGCTTTTCTGAAAAATAATATTTTTATGTTTTATCACACAGCTCAATTGAAAAAGAATATGCCTGCAATGCAGGAGACCTGGGTTTGATTCCTGGGTTGGGAAGATCCCCTGGCAGGCTACAGTCCATGAGGTCACAAGAGTTGGACACAACTTAGTGACTAAACCACCACACACTTGAATCTGGGTCTTGCCATGGCAGTGTCTTATCACATTTCTTTTTAACTCTGCTAACTCATATTCATTTAAAATATTTTTACCAAATAGTTAATCTGGACATGTTTCTATACCAGATATATAGAGCTGTGAGAGTAAGGAGGAAACAGTTTCTGTGTTTATGAAACTTCTAAAAAGGAATACCAATTGAACCGAAGCATACAGAAAAACCTGGTTTGACCATAGTAAAGTAAAGTAAAGTCGCTTAGTCGTGTCCGACTCTTTGTGACCCCACGGACTGTAGCCTACCACGCTCCTCTGTCCATGCGATTTTCCTGGCAAGAGTACTGGGCCATTTCCTTCTTGGAGAATACAATTAGTTTAACTCACATTCTTTTTTTAACATCTTGAAAGTAGAAACAAATATAGAGAAATTAGGCATGTATCAGGAGAGAGGGTACCATATGTAAGAGAAAGTAGTGAATTCTCTGATTTAAGAACAAAATTTCAAACATTTCTGACAAATTCCAGAACTCTTATAGTATCCTCTCCAAATATGCAAAACTAAAACCCTCTTATAAATAGTAGGTATATAGCAATCATTCACAGGAAAGAACATGTTGAAAGCCACGCAATGGCATAATTAGAAATAAGAACATATCTCTACCTGGATTCAGAATTATGGAATTTTATAATTATGGAAAAGAACAAAGTCAGTCTATTCTGCTGGCCACAAGCAGCTAATAATACTGCTTTTGAACAAAATTTGAACAGTTAATGACTACATGTTTGCTGGCTTTCCTGGGTTTTAAAGTATTTGACTAAGATTATTTACTTCATTGGACTTCTCAGGGGTGCTGGTGGTAAAGAACCCACCCGCCAATGCAGGAGTTGTAAGAGATGTGGGTTCAGTCCCTGGGTTGGGAAGATCCCCTGGAGGAGGGCATGGCAACCCACTCCAGTATTCTTGCCTGAAGAATCCCATGGACAGAGGAGCCTGGTGGGCTACAGTCCAAAGGATTGCAAAGAGTTGGACACGACTGAAGAAACTTAGCATGCGTGCATTCATTTACTCCATTGTTTCTATAAATTCAAACCAGTAAGAAGAAACATTTGTTTTGATGGAAACTAAAGCTGAGATAACTTTTTTTTTTAAAGAAATTAGTGAAAGATAAGAAATATCAAGAAATGTGCACATTCAAAAGCAGGCCAGGGTGACTTAGGAGAGAATGAATCATGACTCATCATTTCACTACTAGGTAAGTACTCAAAAGAATTGAAAACATATCTCCATAAAGCTTGTACATGAATGTGCATAGCAGCATTATTCTTAATAGCCAAATAGTGGAAACAATCCAAATGTCTGTCAACTGACAAAATGAAGTGTATCCACATAATGGAATATTACATGAAAATAAAAATTAGTAAAATATGAACACATGTTACAACACAGATGAACCCTGAAAACCATATGAAGGTAGCCAGATCCAAAAGGCCACAACAGGCTGGATGGTTCCATCCGTATGAAATGTCCAGAACAGTCACATCCTCAGAGACCAAAAGAATATTACTGTTGCCAGAGGCTAGCGGGAGGGAATAGTGAGAAATGACCATTAATGGTTATGGGGTTAATGGTTAATAGGAATGAAGTTTCTCAGAGAGATTAAAAAAGTCTAAAATTAGATAATGCAATGATTGTACAACTCTGTAACTATGCTACAAATCACTGAATTTACACTTTAAAGGATGATTTTTATGATATGTAAGCTATACCCCCATAAAACTTTTATAAACAATTTCTAAGAAACCTGAATCATGAAATTCATGAAAACTGTCCTACATCAAGAAAAGAGGTTTAGAAAATGGAAACAAATGCACATGTTCAACACCAATCTCTGCATAAGTCTCTATGCTCTCAGTATAAACACGGAATTGCTTTTGGTGTAAGATTAGTTTAGGAGAAGCTATGATTTAGTTTTAGCACTTGAAGGCCAAGCCTGGTACAATTTATAAAACTGTGGTCACAAATCACTTGATTCCAGAAGTTAATAGCCTTTTGGAAACTGTACTACATCTCTCTGAAAAACAAGGTGGTGAATGCAGTTGCCATTTGGGTTTAGGAGATTCCTCAACACTTCTTGAAATCATAAAGGTAAGCAGGGTTACTTGTCCTGATTGACTTTAAGTGTACACATACTTGATCTCCTGGGAGAAGAGATGGCTGAAAACTGGTACTTTTGTACATCTTACATTCAAATGGAGATGTCACATCTTTCAAGAGTTATTTGACAGAAATTCCAGTAAGTAGATGTCATGAACTCAGATATCCAATACTCTTCCAATATTGTTATTTTCTTTTTCCCTGTTTTTCTTGTCCTCACTCTCTATTCATGCACATTCTCAGTATACAGTTTACAAATCACTAAAGTATATGCAAACAGTGAGGGTGGTGGGTGATTCAAGTCAGTGGTACCACAATTGGAGATACTTTCCTAAAGCTAAATTGAAGGAAGACGCCAAGCACTTGCTTAACATGAGGGTCTTGAAAAAAGTAAGTTGAAGAGCTTTGGGTCAGATTCCATAATCATCCTCTAGTTTGGTGGGTAGAGGGGAAATCATAGCCTCCTATCTGGATGATGGGAAAACATAATGTGTACAAATTTTTGAGGGTAATTTTGCAATATCTATCAAAAGCCTTAAATATGTTGATTCATTTTTATTGCCAAATAACTTTACTTCTAGGAATGTAACCAAAAGCAATAATCTCAGATGTCTTTAAACATTTATGAAGATATTTACTGCAATGTTTTTATAATATTGAAAAAGTGTAACCTATCCAAAAGTCTGTCAGGGTTTCATTAAATGAAAAAATGAATATATAATAGGAAACTGAGTGGCATGTAAAGAGTGCTTTTAAAGACTATTTAATAAATTTTACAAATCTTATAAAAATAACAGAATATAGGGTACACA